AATGGTTCAGTGCCAACATGGCAGTAGTCTGCAGTGCCGTATTCCAGGGAATGATTTTGGTCCTTTGCTGTTTAATATTTTTATTGGTGTATTGGCAAAGACATAGATGGAATGCTCACCACATTTGCAGATGACACAGGTCTGGTACACCTTACTTTCTGTCATGTACTCTTTGATCCAGTGACACTGGCCTCCTTGCTGTTCTGCAAATAAGACACTTTATCTCTCGACTCCAGGCGTTTTCTCTAGCTGTCCCTCATACCTGGTATTCTCTCCCTCCTTGACTCTGTCTACTGACTTCCATGGCTTCCCTTCAGTCCCAACTAAAATCCCATCCTTTATAGGATGCCTTTCCAAACCCTTAATTCTAGTGCCTTCCCTCTGTTAATGATTTCCTATTGTCCTGTATATAGCTTATTTTTATGTATTTGCTTGCATGTTGTCTCCTCTATTAGAGCAAGTTCCTTGAGGACAGAGACTGTCTTTTGCCTCTTTCAAAAAATATCTTATTTTCATTTTATTATTTATTTATTTTTAACAGTTTTTTTTCTTTTTAAAATTTGAATTCCAAATTTTCTCCCTCACTTCCACCCCCTCTTCCACCAACAGAGAAGACAAGCAATACGATATCAAGCATACATTTGAAATCATCTTTTGGGATGCCCATCAATTGGGCAATGGCTGAATAAGTTGTGGTATATGAATGTAATGGAATACTGTTGTGCTGTAAGAAATGATGAGCAGGCAGACTTCAGAAAAACTTGGAAAGACTTACATGAACTGATGCAGAGTGAAATGAGCAGAACCAGGAGAACACTGTACACAGTAACAGCCACATTATGGGATAACTGACTTTGATAGACTTGGCTCTTCACAGCAACACAACAATCTAAGACAACTCCAAAAGATTCGTGATAGAAACTGCTATCCACACCCAGAGAAAGAAATATGGAGTCTGAATGTAGATGAAGCATACTATTTGCTCTCCTTTTCCTTTCTTGTTTTGTTTTATTGCTTCATTCTTGTGGCTCCTCCCATTAGTTCTAATTGTTCTTTACATCATGACTAATGGGAAAATATGCTTAACATGAATGTATATGTAGTGCCTATATCAGATTATATGCTGTCAGGGGGGTGGGGGAAGAAATGAGAGGGGGGAAAATTTAAAACTCAAAATCTTATGGAAGTGAATGTTAAAAACTAAAAATAAATAAATTTTTTAAAAAATCATCTTTTTCTTCTTTTTATATCCCCAGAGTAGATGTCTAATAAATGTTTATTAATTGACTAATTGGAAGGGATAGCTAGTACACTAGACTTGACTACACTATAACTAGAGTTATGGTATCCAAACAGATCTTGCTAATCTAGAACATTGACTGTAATAAGATGAAATTCATTAGGTTTCATTTACATTTGAGTTTTGGGGAATTTAAAAATTTTTTCCCCCAATTATATGTAAAAACAATTTTTAATGTTTTTTTTTTAATTTTCGAGTTCCAAATTCTCTCCTCCCTCCCTCTCTTTCCATTTCTTCCCTGCGTTGAAAAGGCAAGCAATTTGTTGTAGGTTATACATATATAGTCATGCGAAACATATTTCCATGTTAGTCATATTGTGAAAGAAAACATACACATACATACAAAAAAAAAGAAAACTGAAGTAAAGAAAAAGTATGCTTCAATCTACATTCAGACTCCATCAGTTCTTTCTTTGGAGATAGATAACATTTTTCATCATAAGTCCTTCAGAATTGGATCATTGTGTTGCTGAGAATAGCTGAGTCATTCACAGATAATCATCACACAATATTGCTATTACTTATACAGAGTTCTCCAGGTTCTGCTCATTTCACTTTATATCAGTTCATATAAGTCTTTCCAAGTTTTTCTGAGAGCATCCTGCTCATCATTTCTTATAGTACAATAATATAACATCATAATCATATGCAACAACTTGTTCAGCCATTCCCTAATTGATGGACATCCTCTCAATTTCTAATTCTTTGCCATCACGAAATATTTTTGTACATGTAGGTCCTTTTCCTTTTGTTTTTTCATCTCTTCAGGATATAGACTGAGTAGTGGTATTGCTTAGTTAATGGGTATGCATAGTTTTATAGCCCTTTGGGCATAGTTCCAAAGTGCCCTACAGAATTGTTGAATTCAGTATATAACCAGTGCATTAGTCTCAATTTTCCTTTTCTGTCATGTTAGCCAATCTGATAGGTGTGAGGTAGTAGCTCAGAGTTGTTTTAATTTGCATTTCTCTAGTCAATAGTGATTTGGAACATTTTTTTTTTAAGGCAATTGGGGTTAAGTGACTTGCCCAGGATCACATAGGTAGTAAATGTCAAATGTTTGGTCTGAGTCTGGATTTGAACTCAGGTCCTCCTGACTTCAGGGCCAGTGCTCTATCCACTGCACCACCTAGCTGCCCCTAGAACATTTTTTCATATGACTATAGATAGATTTAATTTCTTCATCTGAAAACTGTCCATTCATATTCTTTGGCCATTTAACAGTTGAGGAATGGCCCTTATTTCTATAAATTTGACTCAGTTCTCTATATGTTCAAGAGATGAGGACTTTATCAGAGAAACTTGCTGTAAAATCTGTCCTGCAGTTATGATTACTGCGTATTTCCCTTCATCCTATTTCCCCCTGTTTATCCTATTCTTTCTGCCCTTTCACTCTCACTCTATCCATTCTCAAAAGAATTTTGCTTCAGACTTTTACCTTCCTCAATCTATCACCTACCCAACCTTTTCTTATTCCCTTCCCCTCCTCCTTTCCTGTATGGTAAAATAGATTTTTTACCCAACTGAATGTGTATGTTATTCCCTCTTTGAGCCAATTCCTATTGGAGTAAGGTTTACTTGCTCCTCTCCCTCCCTCATCTTCCTCTCCACCGTGAAAGCTCTTTTGGGCCTCTTTTTAACCCCATTCTACTTCTCTTTTTTCCTTTCCCCCAGTGCATTTTTTCTTACCCCTTAATTTTATTTTTTCAGATATCATCCTATCATATTCAACTTCCACTTGTGCCCTCTGCCTATGTATACTTCTTCTACCTGCTGTAATAATGAGAAGATTTTTGGGAGTTATAAGTATCATTTTCCTGTTTAGGAATGTGAACAGTTTAACCTTATTGAATCTCTTATGATTTCTCTTTCCTTTTTCCCTTTTTTTGCTTATCTTGAGTCTTGTATTTGAAAGTCAAATCTTCTGTTCATCTCTGGTCTTTTTATTAGGAATACTTGAAAGTCCTCTATTTCACTGAATATACATTTTTCTCCCTGAAGACTTATACTCAGTTTTTCTAGGTAGTTGATTCTTGGTTGTAAACCTAGCTCTTTTTTCCTTCTGGAACATCATATTCCACGCCCTCAGCTCCTTTAATACCAAAATTGATAAATCTTGTGGCTCCATAATATTTGAATTATTTCTTTTAGGCTGCTTGCAATATTTTTTCTTTGACCCAGGCACTCTGGAATTTGGCTATAATACTCCTGGGAGTTTTAATTTTGGGATCTCTTTCAAAAGGCAATCAGTGTATTCTTTCAATTTTTACCCTCTGGTGCGAGAATTTCAGGGCATTTTTCTTTAGTAATTTCTTATCTAGGCTATTTTTTTTTAATTATGGCTGTTAGATTACACTTGAGTTTTTGAAAATCAACATTACCATTACAAGATGGGAGAAGCATGGTTAGATAGTTGTTCTTAAAAAAAAAAAAGACCTAGGGGTTTTAGTTGACTGGAAGCTCAACTAAAGTCAACAGTCTGAATTGGCAACCAAAAATACTAATATATTTGGATACATTCAGAGAGGCATAGTTTCCAGGAATAAGAAGGTAATAGTCTCACTGTACTTTGCCCTAATTAGGTCTCATCTGAGTTTTATATTCAGGTCTATGTGCCATGGTTCAAGAATGACATTGAGAAGCTAGAGAGTGTCCAGAGGAGGTCATCCAGGATAGTGAAAGGCCTAGAATCCAAGTCAGATGAGGCTCAATTGAAGGGACTGGGCATGTTTATCTTAGAGAAGAAGTACTCTGGAGGGGGATATAATATCTGTGTTCAGGTATTTGAAGGGATTTTGTTTGACACCAGAGGGTAGAACCAGGACCAATGGGACGAAGTTGGAAAGATGTAAATCTTGGCAAAATGGAAGAAACAGCTTTCTAACCATTAGGGCTATTTAGAAATGGAATGGACTGCCTCAAGAGCTAGTGAGTTTTCCATCTTTGCAGGTCTTCAGATAGAGATTGAATGACTATTTCATATGTTGTAGTGGAGAAATGGCTGCTGAGATTCCTTCCAGCTCTCAAATTCTGAGTTGATAATTAAACCTAGAGGCACTGATGATATCACCAAGAAAGAGGGTGTAGATAGAGAGGGGGCTAGGGAAGTGCCTTAGGGGAATATCCCTGGTTAGGAGGTGATATATAGATGAAGATATGGAAGAGGAGACTGAGAAGAAGTCATTAGGACAGGAAGAGAACTAGTATCATTTAAAAAAAAATGTGAGAGAATAACCAGGAGGAAATAACCAGGATCAACAGTTTCAAAAGCTTAAAGAAATGTCAAGAAAGATGATGACTGAGCTAGTCATCAGATTTAACAACTGACTGGTAACTTTATCAAAAGCAATTTTCATTGAGTAGTGGGGTTGGAAGCCAGGTTGCAAGGAGTTAAAAAGTAAGTGGGAATTTAAAAAGTAAAGGAAATGAGAATAGACATTTTTTTGGCAGGAATTTGACTCATGAACATGTTTGATATTGTATACAAGACAAGAGGATAGTTACCTAATTGTGTATGCTGACAAGTGTGTTGTCCTGTGTAAATATGTGTACTTATTAACAAAAAATAATACATTTTCAGTTTTAAGACTATATATGTACTTAGTACAAATATTCACGGGCACTGATATTAGAAGCAAACAAGTTATAGAAGAAAAATATGAAAATGAATTAATGCAAGCATTTTTTTCTTTCCGCAAAGTTTTGTCAAAGCAGCATGCCTCACAGATCCTTATGAGGAAGCGCAGAGCAAACACTTTTATGGAAGAAACTAAAAAAGGAAATCTAGAACGAGAATGTATTGAAGAGCTGTGTAACAAAGAAGAAGCTAGAGAAGTATTTGAAAATGAGCCAGAGACGGTAAGAGTCTATAATGTGTAAAGGGCCAGGATTGGAATTGTGGGAGCACAAGACAGTAAGAACCACCACATGGTAGCAAAAAGAGCTTTTCTCTAAGGGGATAAACTCACTTTTCCCGCAGCAGAGAGAAACCCCAGTAAAGATCTTATGAAATGAGCTCCTGTAGGGAAATTTTATGGTTTCACTGGATTCATCCAGGTGGAGGCTTTATTAAGGCTAATTATAGTGGTCCTTTTTATGGGAACCAGCCTTGAGTTTATAACCCCACAAGTCACGTAGATCTCCAGGCAGTTACAGAAAGGACAGTTCACCTGGCCAGGTTCACCCCATCACCTAGTGTTGTATATAATTACATTGGCCAGTGTCAAATAGGAGACACTACTGTAGGATTCTCCTCTTCATCCCTATTATCTTGTGGGGTCATTTCAGGTGTTAATTGAAAAGTGACAACAGGAGGACACAAGGGAAGCAAATAGGTTGTCTGCACTAACATTACAATTTTTGTGACTGCCCAACTAACACAGTCAGTATCATAATCAAGCTGGCTAAGTGATGGGGAACAAGAACAGAGCTTCCTACAGCTCCAAAGATTTCCACCAAACAGCAATAGCAACAATAATAGTTGCAGTACCTTGAATGCCCTTGGGTTGCTGCTCCCTGAATCTTCCCTTTCTGTTCTTTTCATAGTCACTTATGGGTTGTTCCTAGGTAAGTCTCAACTGATTCTTATGATATAATGGCAAGAGCCTTGAATCAGGAGTCAAAGGGGCTGGCTTCAAATCATTACTTAGCACTAGTGTGACCAAGAGTCTAATACCTGCTCTGTTACCTACCACCTATAACACTTTAGCCAAGACACTTAAACTCTGTGGGCTTCATTAATTCCTTAAGGATCTGTTCTAGATGTGCTCCAAGACCCCTTCTAGCCAGGGGTGTCCTGAAACCAGCCCAGGAAATCTGATTGTTTAATTTTCAGTGTGAGCATTTATACTTTATATCTCATGGGGCATGTATTGGCACAGTGGATAGAGTGTCAGGCCTGAAGTCAGAGAGACTCATCTTCCTGAGTTCAAATCTGGCCTCAGATACTTATTAGCTGTGTGACTCTGGGGAAGTCATTTAACCCTGTTTGCCTTAGTTCCTTATCTGTAAAATGAGCCAGAGAAGGAAACGGCAAACCACTCCAGTAACTTTGCCAAAAAAATCCTAAATGGGGTCATAAAGAGTTGGACGTGACTGTACAACATCAACATTTATACCTTGGAAATCAGCAAACACCAAAACTCAAGGCTTTATTTATCATTTTATTGATTGTCTAGACTTAAGGAAGTGATGTAGAAAATGTTAACAATCAAATTTGGCTTAAAAGTGTACTATACCTATATTATTTTTACAGAGCTGATTATTAAACACTAAACAGCATACCACTGCTGCCAGCTCTGAGTTTATGAAATCATAGCTCTAGAGGGGATTTCATGAGTACTGAAAAAGATCTCAGAGGCCCTCTAGTCCAAATCTCTTATTTTACAGATAAGGAAACTGAGGCCTAGGGAGGTTAAGTGACTTGTTTCAAGGTCCCACAGATACTAAGTATTAAGGTGGGATCTGAACCCAGGTCTTAATCTCTAAAGCCTGTATAATACAGTGTGGCCTTTAAAAAGTCCTGGGTTGACTTGGGATTGAATTTTATACTTTGAGCCAAAAAGATTCTTTCCTTGTTTTGTTGCTTACTGTGTCAGTAGGCAAAAGGGAGAAGGAAAATAAATGTATTCTCCATGTATGGGAAAATATCATTGAAAATATGCATTATTTACATATGTTCCTAGAGCTTATGTTGGGTAAATGGCCTCCTATTGTCACACAAGCTTTTGTAGGCAGTCCCCAACTTGCAAATGCCCAACTCATATATACCTTATCTATGAAAGGTGGGCCAGTCAGTTTGCCACAGGAATACCTCTTTCCATTCCACTACAAATCTCTTTCTCTTCCCTTTTCTCCATTTCTTCTTTTCTTTCCCTTCCTTCCTCTCAAGACTCCTCATCCCCTTCACCCTCACTGCTGCAGAGGTCTTCCTCTGCTTCTCAAGAAGGCCTCAGGCTCCCCCATAATCACTCTACCCTCAAACTACTCTCACCTCTTCAGTGTTAGGGGGAAAGGGAAGGAAAAGAAGGAAACACTGCAATTCCCTGAGGTTCCCTTTTTTCTTAGGTCCTTTTCTCAGAGTCTTTGGCAATGGCAAAGTGGAAAGGAACAGGAATGAGGGAGGAAAGGCAAGAAGAGGAAGGAGGAGCACCTTTAATGCTACTTATTTTAATCCCTTTTCTCCAGCCCAGCGACAGAGTTTTGAAGAGAAAAGAACCGAGAAGATGAGGAGGGAAGAAAGGGGGCAGATTTAGAGGAAGACCATCAATTTCTGACACTTTTATAACTCGTCAGCTTGAGATTATAGGTTCACAAATCTAGATAGGACCTGAGAGGCCATCTTATCTAATCTTTTCATTTTACAGATAATAAAACTAAGGTCCAGGGAAGTTAAATAGTTGCCCACGGTTTCAAGGACAATAAACTTTATAGGTAGGATCTGAACTCGGGTCCTCTGACTTTAGAATTAGTGTACTCTCCATTGTACCATATTTATGTTTATTCTAATTTTAAATTTAATGTCAAGAGGAAATGGGGGAATGAAATGGGTTATTCTCAGCCTCCTCCTTACATGAAGAGTTACCAGCAACCTCCTTACGTTACTACCTAGCCTACAGCTGGTGGCACAGTTGCTACAGTTGCTCCAGTACTAGGCATGGAGTCAAGTTCAAATTTGGCCTCATCAGCCTCAGACCCATACTAGCTATGTGATCTTGGACAAGTCACTTAACCTCTGTTTGCCTCAGTTTCCTCTTCTAGAGATGAGGGATAATAATAGCACTATCTCACAAAGGTTGTTGTGAGGATCAAATGAGATAATATTTGTAAAAAACACATAGCACAGTGCCTGGCACATAGTAGGTAACATATAATGCTTATTTTCTTCACTCTTCCTTACCTTCCTATTTCCTCCCTACAACCCAACCTTCACTTCTGTTTCTCATGGTTTCAGCCCCCCTATTAGTCCCTCTCAATACTAAAAATATTAATCCTATTCCCAAACCAGGGAATCCTTAACTTGGGCTATATAGACCCCCAAGGGATGCATGGATAGATTTCAGGGATCCATGAACTTGGATGGGAAAAATCGCTTCCTTACTTCTATACAGTTGCTTTCCTTTGTAATTTTACTTATGTAAATAAGTAAAGTTCTCAGAACATTATTCTGAGAAGGAATCCATAGGCTTAATCATATTGCTACAGGGATCCATGAACCAAAAAATGTTAAGAACTTCTACCCTAGGCACATGGCACCAACATACCTGCTTACCACCTCTTGCCACTCCCTTAATCTTTTTTGCCTTAAACTTTATCCTAGAAACCCAGCCCCAGATTCCCTAGTTTCAGAAGCCCCATACCTGCTTTTATCTCTTGCCCTTCTGGTGTTTCTTCCCCAATCCACCGGAGCTAGCAGAAGTGGTTAGGATATTCCTATTGCTTGGCTACAGAAGGGAGAGAAGTGTTTCTGTCATCTCAAGTTGTAACTCAGAATGTAGTATCCCATAGAAGCACTGTTACACATGGTAGTAAGGTTTAATGGCATATACAGGTCTATTATGGTCCAGATAGGCTTTTGTGGACTGGTCTGGGAACCTCACCACTATATATAACATTGTTTCTAAGGGAAAATGCCTTTATAGTTCAAAACTGACTTACAAATAAAGAACATAGAGCATTTATAAATTGGGGACTTTCTGAAGATAAAATAATAAATTATTATGTACTTTAATAAATATGGACTGTCATACTTAATATTTATTGAGCTCAGCTAATTTGAAAGAAATAGCATATATGATGCACCAGATAGGCTTTTTTGATCATCAATGATGATGAATGGATTAGATAAAGGGCAGGATCAAGTAAAATGATATTCATAAAGCACTTTGCAAACCTTTAAGTGCTATAGAAATGCTATTTATTAGTATTATTCATGTATTTGAATCTTTTTTGAGATTAAGAGGGCATACATTTTAAATTAATTGATCAATAATGCATTTCAAGTTTATTTGCCATCACTTTGTGTTACTGATCATGTACCGTTGGCTGCTTATTATGATGAAATTTATGGTAATATTTTAATGTAAAATATCAATAATATGCAACATATTTTTGTTTTATAATTTAAAGACATTAGATAAAAATTATCAGTATAGCATAATTTAAATTTACTAAGATATATTTTCTCCTTTTTTTCTAGAACTATTTTTATCCGTTATACCTAGGTAAGTTCAAAAGACTATAATTAAAAATGTTTAGAATTAAATGGGACCTTAGAGGTCATTGAATTCAAGCTACCTCCCATAATTCTTTCTAATAATCTTGTCATCTGAAGAAGCTGTTATATTTTTCTGTCCTTTATCTGTATTAGATAGTTACACACATTTGGACTTTAATTTCTCTGTGGCATTTTGGCTTTTTGTGTTTTGTCTCTTCACAGTGCGCATAACTCCTTGTAGCAATTTAGGAATATGTATTCACTATATGATATATGATAGATCACTAGTAATAGACCATTCTTACCTAATATGAGATATGGGCCTCTATGATTGGGCAAGGGAGAGAGAGAGAGAGAGAGAGAGAGAGAGAGAGAGAGAGAGAGAGAGAGAGAGAGAGAAGAGTCATAAGTGACTCTGAGGTTTTCAGTTTGAGAGATTGGAATGATGCTGATGCCTTCAACAGAAATAGGGAAGTTTGGACGAAGAATTTAGGAGAGATGATGAGTTCAGTTTGGGACATGTTTGAGGTACTAGAAGGACATCAGGTAGAGGTGTCCAGCTGGCAATTGGGAATATGGGACTGGGGTTAAGGAGAGAGATTAGTGATATTTGATTTGGAAGGTATCTGTATGGAGACTGAACACCATGGGAGCTGATGATAACACCAAAGGACAGAGTATTTAGAAAGAAGAGTGGATGGCTCAAAAGACAGAGAAGAGAATAACTTTGGGGGATATAAAAACTATGAAATGGAAGGTGAATGATGAACCAGCAAAGGACTGAAAGAAGTGGTCAGACAAATAGAGGAAGATCCAGGAATAAGTTTTGTCATGGAGGACAAAGAAGAAGAGGGTAACCAGGAAGAAGGGAGTGGTCCAGAATGTCAAAAGAGTCAGAAAATTCAAGGAATGAATGAAAAACATTTATTAAGTGTTTACAATTTCCAAAGCACTTGTGCCTTAGCACTAGGGATACAAATACGAAAGGAAAAAAATTTCTGCTCTCAAAGAGGTAACATGTTCTAGAAGGAGAAGACAACATATATAAAGGAGTGGTGGTCTAGGAAGGGTCTTTTGGTTTGGAAAATCACAGGGATGGTGAGTGTAACCATAGGGGAATCAACTGATATGCCCTTTCCAGAGGCAATGGAAGTATTGATTTGATAACTAATCAGAGAATAAGAGGTAGAAAACAGGGTAGGGGGTATGAAAGCAGAAAATGGTAAGGCTATGGATAGAATGGTTGGTCATTGGATGGAGTATGAAGCAATATCTGGCTTTTGGGGCTATCTAGATATAATGGGTCATGTGTGATTACACTTGCTGACTAACTTATCAGAACAGCATGGCCCCAGTGTATGCTGAGTGGATTAAATCACCCAGGGAATGATTTCAGGGGGTCTTCTGGTATAGAGGGAACAACGGCAGTGCAGATGGCAAGATGATGGCTTGGCTTAGATGGTAGGATGAGATGAGAAGCATGGTCTGGGGTCTCTGGCTGGCTAGATAGGGTGGGCCATGTATGTTTGCACTAAGTGCCTTGCTAATCAGGACAGCACAGACTTAGGGTGAGGTCTGAGAAAGGATCATCAGATTTTTTGACTGAGATCATTCACAATCTTTTGGATGCTAAATTAGGAGAATGATAAGTTATATTACAAGAGGTAGTGAAATGAATGATTGTGAGGAAAGAGAAGCAGTGAGTGTAGACTTTTCTTTCTAAGAACTTAGTGGCAGAAGGGAGGAAACTTTCAAATAATAGTTACTAGGGATGTCAGGATGAAGGAAATGATTTTTTTTTAAGGATAGGAGAAACCTGGACATTTCTGGTAGGTAAGCATAGGCAATGCATGTACAACTAATACTCTCTTTTTCATTAAGTAGTTTCCTTAACTAGGTCCCTACCTTTCAGGAGGAATCTGGCTACCTGCTAATAGTAAATCAAATCCATGGCAGTTCTTTCACCAACCAAGTCATATTCCCCTATTCTACTATAGACAGAGCTTTCTAATTCAAAAGCAAGTTTTTCAGACTCTCAGATACCTTAATGATTTTTGAGGTCTCAAAGTTTGACCTTCAAGATAGAATAACATTATTATCTTAAAGCCTTAAACATAAAATATCCTTGTGGCTGCCATTTGTCCTGACAGGTACATGATGATTATGTGTGGTAGATAAGGTCAATTCAGGATAAAAGGTCCAACTTTGCATATACCAGAGATAATAAAGTGGTGTTGTTGTTGCTGTTTCTATTCCCCAGATACCTTACTTTCTGTGTTACCATGACTCAGCCTTTATTGATGTGGGGATTATTTGATATTATTTTATCTTAAGCTTCTTAAAGTTTCTTTTTAAATGTAAATTGTGAATCCTAGAAACAGAAAGTTACAACCAGGCTTAGGAAAAAATGTCTATTGGTTACTGGCACCAGGTGGGAGATCCACTAGAGAGCTTGAGTTTTCAATAGGAAAAAAAAAAAGCTCAAGTTAGTGGGAAATCTTATGTTGGGAAGCTTGGAGCTCAAAAGGAATTTAGGGGATTTAGGATTTAGAGTTGGAAGGGACCTTATATATCATCTAGTCATAGATTTAGAGTTAGATGGGTCCTCAGAATCCATCTACTTTAATCTTCTCATTTTACAGAGAAGTCAGTTGGTCTAGATTGGACAAGGAGAGTGCCAGTTAGCTTCTTAAAATCCTGAAACCCAGGAGAAAACAAAAATTTTGTGCTCCTTAGGTCTAGAAGCAGATTCTTGAATTTATGTTATCTAAAAGTCTAGAACGTAAATTAGCATTTGCATTCTTACAGGATTTCTGACTTTGAAGATAAGACAGAGAATAACCAGGCAAGTGAAGGGGGAAAAATAAAGAGAAAGGCCTAGTTCACTGTGTTTTCATATGTGACTTTTTACCTCATGGACTTTTAAACTTTCCTTTTTGACCTATTTTCATAACCTATCTCTCCCTAAATTTTTCCTTATAATAGTATTAAAAACGTTAAAACATCTTCTATATATGCAGTTTGCAGTTCTCTCCCATTTGAATATGAGCCCCATGAAAGCAGGGACTGTTTTTTGCATTTCTATGTATCCCCAGCAGGTGGCACAGTGGATAGAGCACTTGCCCTGGAGTCAGGAGGACCTGAGTTCAAATGCAGCCTCAGACACTTGACACTGTGTGATGCTGGGCAAGTCACTTAACACCAATTGCCTCACCAAAAAAAAACCTTACTGACCGACTGAGACTGAATGAACCCTAAAAGAGGAGTGGTATGCTGTTTCTAGGGGGCAGATAAAGAGAAAAATGATAAAGTGGAGGGGGAAAAAGTTTTAAAAATTTTTGTTGTCTACCACAGGTGAGGCTGGAATAGTAAGAAAGTCAGTTCAGAGAAGAGAGGTGGTAGCACATAAGTGAAATCAGTCCTGAAGTTGTTCACGAAAAAAAAAAAGGGTGCCACATTTTCTTTCTTATAGAGAAAGCAAAGTGATGCTTTGTTCCAGGATAGCAACATTAAAAGGGTACTAATAACACCTATCTTGTGTTTTTAAACAGAGACATTGAAACATGGCTTAAACTTTTCTCGATGATTTAGGGTGATGTTATGAATATTGGTAGCAGTAATAAGTGGTAGCACAGTCATTACCTCTGAAGTTATTAAGGTTTAATGCTTACGTTGATCAACCCTAAATTATAGTCCTATTTTTTCCCCTGAATTGCTCTATAGTTATCCTGTTTTTTTTTCTATTGTTCTCCCCTCTCCCCCATTAATAGTCACTACTCAGCCTGTCAACTTTTAACAGTTTTCTCCCCAACACTGCTTCTTATTAATTATGTAATATAGGAAGAACATAGGATTGTAAAGAATAACTAGACAGTCAGACTTATTGAATGAATGAGCTTAACATTACACAGAATCCTAAGTCATTAGGTTCTAAGCTGAAGGCAACTCCATTCCCTTATCTCATCAGAGGTCTTTTTCACTTTTGAGTTCAAGGATATGCTTCGGATAGTTAAGACTAGAAGTAGTCTGGCAGCAGTAAGTATGGTGTTACGCCTAATTAATTCTCTCATCTTTTAATTTCTTCCCCAGCTATTTTATTTTTGGAAGGTGGGTAGAAATCCATGGCAATATTGTCTAATTACTGGATGCTGACAATTACTAGGAGCATACTTTTCTGTCTTAGGCATAATCTCCATCATGGATTCATGTCAAGTAAGTGGATTGTAAACAAATTGTTGTTTTTATAGGTTGCCTTGGTTCTTTCCGAGTTGGGTCATTTGTAGCTGCACGTCAATCAACCAGTGCTCACACAGACCTGAGGAGTTGTGTCAATGGTAAGTGACTGCAGTATTTATTTAATATCAAACATTAAAATATTAATTCTGTATTAGGCATTAAACTTTAAAAACGTAAAAACATAAATTTTGTTTAAATAATAGCAAATCAGTCTTTACATATTTAAAAAAGAATTCCACATTAGCATTGTTGCAAAAAAAAAAAAGCAAGGAGAACAAAGAAAGTAAAAAAATGCTTCAATCTGTACTCACAGTTCATCAGTTCTTTCTGGAGATGAATAGCATTTTTCATTGCATTTGGAAATGTATTGATTATTGTATTGATGAGAGTAGCTAAGTCTTTCATAGTTGATTATTGTTATAATACTGCCATACATACATGATTGATGCATAGCAAGAAAGACATTCTAATGTGTATTTTCAACTTTTAACTTAACTCTATGAATCATGCAACTTTACTTTTTTGATGACATTTTTCATATTAAATTGAACAGTTATTTACTTACTAAGGTTTCTAGGATTTTATTCTGTGTAACTTTATTTTGATTGATGCCATATAATGGTGTAAGAATTACTTAAGTACATATATCAAGACAGTATGCATAGTCAATAGCATATTAGACTTGGCATCACGAGGATTTAGGTTCAGACCCTGAATTTGATAGCTGTATGACCATCTATAAGTTATTTACCCTCTCTTAATCTCACTTAACTCATCTGAAAAATCCAGATAGTATACCTGTAGTGATGACTTAGCAAGGATGTTGTAAGGCTCAAGTGAGGTCATGTATATAAAATGTTATATAAATCTGTGTATACATATGGTGTAAGGGACCTTAGGCCTTATCAAATTCAACTCCTTATGTAATATTCTCAAATTGAACATGTCTAAAACAGAACTCATAATCTTTCCCTTAAATCCCACCCTTCTTTCTAACTTTCCGATTTCTATTGAGGTCATCACCATTCTTCCAGTCACACAGGGACTCAACCTTAGATTTAGCCTCAACTCTTGCCTCTCCTTCATTCCTCATATTGAATCAGTTGCAAAGTCTTGTTGATTCTATCTGCACAATGTCTCTCACATCTTTTCCTTTCTTGCCCCTTTTTGATTGATTCTCAAATGGCACAGTTTCCACTTTTCTCACCATTCTGGTCACTGTCCTGTTTAGATATGATCCACCTTACTGATGTGCTTCCTAAAATGTGACATGCAGAACTCACCAGATGTGAACACAACAGATGTTTTCTGATCAGGGAGAAGTACAGAAGGATCATTACCTCCTTAGTCTGGATCATAGTGTTTCTCTGAATGAAGATTTAAGATCTTTTTTTTGTTTTGTTTTGTTTTTAAGCATTGTTGGCTGCCATATCACATTGTTAATTTATAGTGAGCTTGCAGTTTAACAAAGCCTCCAGTTCTTTCCAGATGAACTGTGGCCTAGCCACACTTCCTTCATATTGTATTTATAAAATTGATTTTGTAATGCAAATGTTAAGGTTTGCATTTATCCCATCAAATTTAATCTTACTAGATTCAGTCTTATTTCTAGTCCATGGAAATCTTTTGGGATTCTAACTATTCCTCCAGGCTTTGTATCATCTGAAAAATTTGATATGCATGTCATCTATGTCTTTATCTGCAAAATGTCAAACAGCACAAGACAACTAAACACATGTCCCTGAGGCACACCATTGAGGACCTCTCTCTTTTTCTATATTAATCCTGGCGGCATGACCAGAGGGGCCAGGCATGGGGGCACCCTGTCCCCGTTCACGCACCAACTAGGCCCCCCATGCCAAGACAACATTGATTTATTAGTGACTGATCTTCATAAGTCTCCTTCCTGGTCTCCAGTAGAGGTGGGCACTATACTATTGTGCCCCTAGAAGTGAGAGGGACAGAGGTGGACAGTGTACTGTTGTGCCTCATATATCTCCTGCCTGTCTCCAGCCTCTCAGGAAGGAGGAGAAGCACTATTCCATCACACCAGTCCTTTTTTTTTTTTTAAACTGAAATGAGGAGTGTGATTCCACTAGGTTTGTTGTTCAGTCCTTTCAGTCATGTTCATGTCTTCATGACCCCATTTGGAGTTTTCTTGGCAAAGATACTGGAGTCGTTTGCCATTTTCTTTTCCAGCTCCTTTTACAGATGAGGAAAATGAGGCAAACGGTTAAGTGACTTGCTCAGGGTCACACAGCTAGTATGAGTCCAAGGCTGGATTTGAATTCAGATCTTCCTGACTCTAGGCCTGGTGCTCTATCCACTGCACAACCTAGTGAACTCTAGGTTAGGACACCTTAACTCTCTCTCAAATTCCTCCCACACTCTGCAGTTCAGTTAAACCAGCCTTAGCTGTACAACTTTACACATGGCATTCCATCTCCTGACTCCGCCTAGAATTCATTCCCTCTTCACTTCCACATTATAAAGTCTATGTCTTCTTCTAAGATCTGATTCAAGCGCTTTGTTCTATGTAAAGCCTTTTTCTTAACCATACCCTCCCCCAAGTGCTATTCTCTATTTTTTACTATGTATTTATTAAATATGTACTTATTATTTCCTCAGTGGGGTAGCTAGGTGGCACAGTGGATAGGGTGCCAGGCCTAGTGTCAGGAAGATTCATCTTCTTGAGTTCAGATCCAGCCTCAGACACTAGCTGTGTGACCCTGGGCAAATCACTTAACCCTGCTGGCCTTAGTTTCCTCATCTATAAAATGAACTGGAAAAAGAAATGGCAAATGACTTCAGTATCTTTGCCAAGAAAACCCCAAATGGGGTCATGAAGCATCGGACACGACTGAAATGATTTAACAACAAAAATTGTTTCCCCAGTAGAATGTAAGCTTCCTAAGAGGAGGGACTGTTTTGTATTTTATTTTTGCATCCCAGCACCTAGCGCAATGCCTGACACACAATTAGTACTTGAAAATGCTTGTTGATGAATAATCTTGCAATAACTAAATGTTGCCTTATTATTTACTCATATATATTAATCTTCAGTTCCCTTTTCTCTATATATGCTCTCTCTTTTCTATTCTGGAAATTTTTCTCTTTGACTTCAGGAAATGGAAGCAAACCAGAAATTATGCAATTCACTTTCCCTATGTTGTCTGTTACCATTGCACTGTCACTTTCTCATCCCAACTAAAGATCTTGTTCTTCTCTTCTCAAATGTATTTAGCAGAGAGACTAAAGGCAACTGCCACTATGATATCCTAAGTATACAATAATAATTCATATTTGTATAGCATCTTGCAATTTACAAAGAACTTTCCACAAAACAACACAGTGAAGTAAGTAGTACAAATGCTATCACTATTATGGAGATGAAGAGATTCAGGTTGTGACTTGCCCATGGTTACGTAGCTAATAAATGTCAGAGGCAGGTATGACTATTTTCTGTCTTCATCTCATGTGTCTCCCTCTACTATGTAGTCTTCATCAACATGGTTTTATCTTTTTTATTCCATAAAATGGAAATTAAAAAGAATATTGCAGTCAGAATACCTTGCACATAAGCATATTTTCTCTCAGTTTATTATCAAATCTCTGATTATCAGCACTCAGAAGACAGGTTTCTATGAGGACAGATAATTTTTTTTAACAGAATCTATTTCAGTGAGCATGTGACAACTAAAGCACTTGCATAATTGTTATTGATGTTATTGTTCAGTCATGTCCAATTCTTTGTGACCCCATTTGAGGTTTTCTTGGCAAAGATACTAGAGTGGTTTGCCATTTTCTTCTCCAGATCATTTTACAGATGAGGAAACTAAGGCAAATGAGGTTAAATGACTTGCCCAGGGTCACAGCTGGTAAGTGTCTAAGGCCAGATTTGAACTCAAGAAGATGAGTCTTCCTCACTCTGGGCCTGACACTCCATCCACTATGTCACCTAGCTGCAAAACACCCCCCACCAAAAAAAAAAAAAACCTTTCTTTAAACTAGGGCAGGAAAAAAAGATCAAAGTTTAATAATTTCTGGTTTTCATTACTTTCATCATAGATGGTCTCCTTGTAGCTCCTTGTAAAGCACGCTACAAAAAAATAAGAATAAGCTATTTTACAGGATAAGCAGCTTTATCCAGCTATAGAGAGAGAACCACAGGAATTCTTTTTCTATTAATGTAAGAAAAAGAATAGTGAAACATCATCGCAAGTAACATTGCAAAAGGTGTAATGCCAGGTATGGAGCAGCAGTGGAACATAGAGACACAGTGGGATGCTGGCTCACTTCTCTATGCTTTCTTTTGTTGACATTATCTATTCCCCTAATTTCAGTTGTATTTCTATACAGTAGCTCTCAAACTCTTCCCAGAGCTCCAGTACTATGTTTCCAACTGTATACTGGCTATTTCCATTTAAATATCTTTGGAGCACTTTAAACTCAGTACTAAGAGAACAAATTTATATTTCCTCTAAAATTTGTTCTTTCTTTTCTTTTCTATTTCTGTTGATAGGATCAACATCTTTCTGATCACCCAGGTTTGTGATCTCAGAGTCTTTTCTGATTTTTTTCTTTCTTTCATATCCTATATACAATCAATTGTCAAGCCCTGCTGATTCTGACTTATCAATAAATTAGCTACCTTTACATTCTCACTGTAACAATCCTAGTTGAGAAACAATGTGGTTGAAGTTAAGACAGACCTGGGTTCAAATTTTGCTCTTGACTCTTAACTAGTGGTGGTTATATGCAAGTCATTTAGATTCTCTTTGTCTTAATTTACCAGTCTTTAAAATGTATGTATTACCTGCCTCATGGGATTCTGATGAGGCTCAAATGAAATAATCGTTGTAAAGTGCTTTGCAAACCTTTAAGTACTATGTGCCAGTTATTATTATAATACTTCACCCCCCTTTAGTTCAGCGGTTCCCTGAAGTACAGTTTCATGATGCTGCTCAGAGACCTCTGAGCCAAGATAATGAGTAAGATGGATATACTTTTGAAGAATAGTTCAAGAGAGATGGGTCAAGATATGGAAAAAGTGAACTTTTGAATGGTAAAGAAGAAATCTCCTCGGAGCTGCAGATAC